TTTTAATAATAAGTATGACATAGTGATTAAGATGCTAAACTAGGAATAGGTAGGAGATAATAGAGCCAGTTTAGTCTAGTGGTTAAGGCACCAGGTTAGAAAGCAGGAGATTGTAAATTCTAATCCCACTTTAGGCATGAAAGCTGGCTGGGTGACTTTCGGCCAGTGTCTCTCTCTCAGCCCAACCCACTTCACAGGGTTGTCGTAGGGAAAACAGGAGAAGGAATGAATTAGGTATGTTTGCCACCTTGAGTTATCTGTAAAAATTATAAAGGCAGGATTAAAAAAAATCTAACAAAAAAGGTACTGCACAAGTTGTTAGGCTAAAATGAGGGGAGATGGTACCTCCCTCCATGGATTGTTTGATCACCTAGAGAGTAAGTTGTATATGAATGTAAGAGTAAATTCCAGAAAATGTATTACTTGAAATAGTAATGTCTGCAAAGCCCCCCACCATCACTTCATTTTTCCCACCACACAGCAATTAAAGATCTCCTTCCAAGTATTTGCCTTCCTTTATCTTGACCTATATTCCCAGTAAGAGTCATCTGGTGCAAACACAACCATAAATCTATCCCTCTGGCAGTATCAACATATATTTCATCAACACCAACTTATCTTTCACCAACATATAAACGTTCAACACAAGTCCAGCATCTGTGGGCAATTCAATCAATCAATCAAGAACCTCTAAATCAATCAGGTAGTTAAAAACTGCCCTTAAGTTCCCTATCCATTTCCCAGAAGGGAACTAATCCTTCCCTGCCACATCTTCAGTGCACCCTCAGAGCCACTGAGTAAGTTCTGTCCTTTGTTTTCAACTCTTTAATTGCTCTTATTGTTCATGGTTCCTATCTTACTACTTTGCCAAGACTGCACATTTACAGTTTTGAGCTCAAGACTGACATGATTATAGATGGATTCCTTCCAGGATTCTTCTCACGCAAGAGTATTTCGAGGTTGTCTAAGGGATTGGGGTCTTTGCCTATGATATTTTTCTAATTCATGTGTGCCCAAACTGGAAGTGAGTTTTTGGTTTTATGTGTATGTTCTCTTACCCTGGAACATATAAGATCAGATTACTATATTCTCGTTCTTTTCTGTTCTTCTCAGCCTATTTATTTTGTCCCTATGGCCCATCATTTACTTCTGAGTCAAGCTTTGAGTTATAAAGCTATCTCCACCTTACCTCTAACCCTAATCCTTACCTCTTCTATAGGCCTTCTTTCCACTCCTTGCCTGGCAAATAATAATCCTCCCACCATCTCTCTTTCTTTCTCCATCTTTGTTTCAAGACCTATAGAAACAGTATAATGAGCCATGCACTCATGGAAGAATATGGGTTTTTTTTCCCCTTCAGTAACATTTTATTGTTTGTGTGTATATATTAGAATGCCCTATATCTTTGAACTTGAATGGCTGTTTGAGATAATTATCTCCCATTTGGAGCACATGTTCATTGCATCCATATCATACTTCTGGAAAAGATATTTAACTCTTGCCTCCATCTGTAAATGAAGACTTATATCCATTATACACATGGATTACTGTAACATGCTCTACACGGGGCTGCCCTTGAAGAGCATCTGGAAGCTTCAGCTGGTGCAAAATGCATTGGCATGAGCAATTATGTGAGCACTTACATCTGCATGTTACACCTCTGCTCCATGAGCTATAGTGGTTATCAGTTTGCTTCTCAGTTCAATTCAGGGTGCTGGTATGATCTATAAAGCCCTACACGGCTTGGGGCTGGGTTATTTCAGGAACTGCCTCTCCCCAATCACATCTACCCATCTTATCAGGTCCGGAAGGAATGGTATGTTCCAGGTCCCATCCATGAAGGAATATCTTTTGACAGGACCCAGGATGAGATCCTTTTCTATCACGGCACCTGTACTTTGGATTATCATTCACCCTGAGGCCAGATTGGCCCTCACCTTGCTGGCTTTCCAGAAGGGCCTGAGGACATAGCTTTGCCATCTGGCCTGGGGATCTGGGAACATGGGTATGGAGCCTGCAAAGTGGCTATATTGCTAGGGAAACTGCGTACACTCTTCCACAGAATGTTTGTTTATGGTTTTTAATGTTTTTAATGTTTTCTAATGATTTTTGTTGTTATGCTTTGGGTTATTTTGTTGTACTATTTTTGTGTTTTTACTTTGTATGCTGCTCAGAGTCATGTATGTGAGATGGGTGGCTATATAAATTTATCAAATAAATAAATGGAAATCTAAGGAGACTGTAGAGCAGTCTGCATAGCATGTAGGCTGCCAAGTAGCCTTGTGAGGCCCACCCCTGTTTTTTTAAAACATAATAAATTCATCATCACCACTCCAAAAGACGTGTTGCCAACCAACTACCTCCAAGCCTCACCACCACCAACTCCAGCACTGCCACCGCTAGCCACTGAACACCTGATCAGCATGTCAGGTTTTCTTTTGTGGCCCGCAATGATTTTTAATTTATCATTGTGGCCCTTTCCCTTCTACAAGTTGCCCAGGCCTGCTGTAAAGAGAGGGGAGAATGGGCAAGAATAGGTACCCCAACTTTAATTCAAGGTGCTTATCCTATAATATTAATACTTCTGTATATCTTTGCCTGAAATTACTGATTAGCAAACAAATGCACGAAATATTAAGCCACACCTTGGCAATCTAACACTCTTTTTGAAGGTCAACAAGGATATCTCTAAATTCACTTAATATAAAAATATACAGTAATACCTCGGTTCACGAATGCTTCTGTTCACAAACAATTCGGTTCACGAACAGCAGCGTTTGCAAAATTTTGCTTCCGTTCGCGAACTCCGCATCGGGTGACAAACACGACCCGTGGCCATCTTCCCTGCTCTGACACGTGGTCGTGGCTTCCTTTAGGCGAGATTGAGGTCACAGACAGACACTTGCTGTGAAGCTTTTTGGTGTCGCCTCAAGCAAAGTTAGTGTTCTCTCTCTCCATACTG